CTCTGCGCGCCGCGGTGCCCCCCGGTCCCGCCCGCCATGCCCGGCCCGGCCGCGGGCAGCAGGGCCCGGGTCTACGCCGAGGTGAACAGCCTGAGGAGCCGCGAGTACTGGGACTATGAGGCGCACGTCCCGAGCTGGGGGTAAAGCCGCCGCCGCCTCTCGCCGGCCCCCCTCGCTCCCTCGCTCCCGCCCGGCTCCCTTCGGCGCGAACCGCACTCGCCCCCCGGCGATTTGCCTGTCCGCCTGCCCCTGCCCTGGGCCGGCTCTTCTTGGATCTGGGGCGGGAGCAGCGTTCCCCCTCTCACACATGTCCGTGTCTCCCTCTTCTGTCTGTCTTCCCCTTTTCCCACCTATGGGAACCTTCTGCCTCCTCACTCCAAGGAATGCCTTCTTATTGGGGAGAAGTACAGGGTGCAGGGGCTAGAGCTCGTGGAAGTGAGGGGGCAGACCTTCCTCCTCGCACCTTTGAGTTTCTGCTGGGGTGGGAGCTAAACAGCTGTCCTCTTGGGCTATTAAAATTCTCTGCCTTTTTAGGTTTTTTCTGAAATGGAGATAGATGGGTGGGAGGAAAATTTTTGAAGACGTCCAGATTCTCAAAGCATGCGCTGTCTACCTTGAGGGTGTGAAATGAGGCAGGTGCGAGGGAGCCAGGGCTAGAGGGGCACCTTGTTGGCCTCCAGGATGGATGCTTTGGTCCCCCTCTAGATTGGCTCAGAGTGGTGCGTTCCTACCTCATCTCCCCAAGTTACGAGGGACCAATTAGGAGCTCTGTGCAGAGTGAAGGAAGCCAAGTTTATGTTGTGGCTTTCATTTAGGGAATGAGTCGTGATGTGATGTATAGATACTTCCAAGTGCTTGATTAATGGAAGCGGCTGGATGAAGTATATAGTGGACATAGGCTTGGTTAACCCTGAGTCCTGGCATTTATGTGTGTCTCTTACCTTTCACAGTAATCAAGATGATTACCAACTGGTTCGAAAACTTGGTCGGGGAAAGTATAGTGAAGTATTTGAGGCCATTAACATCACCAACAATGAGAGAGTGGTTGTAAAAATTCTCAAGGTGAGTGTATTATGAGGGGCATTAAAAACATTTTTTTTCCCACAGGTCAGAAGGATAGCTACTCCAGTCACATTCTAGAATGAGCAGTGCTAGCTCTCATTTTATGTATCATCTTCTGTCTGATGTCCCTCCACTACTTCTTCCACTCCATTTTCTGGTGAACTTCCGAGAAAATATGCAGACTGGTCTCACATCTAAGCATGATAGCTCAGGAACCATCCTTGTTCCAAAATTTAAATTATGGGCGCCCAAAGCAAAAAATTCCAAAGGCACTCCATTTATTACAAAGTAAATAGATGTTGAAGAAAAGCTTTTTCATGAAGATCCCATCAATCCAAGGGCAGCTTGAGCTTTTTCTTACTCTTGGTGCTCTGAGTTATTCCAGAAAGAACACTGAGAAAAATTGGGGCTACTTCAAAGATGAGTTTGAAGCCCAAGTAGAGGGAAATGCCTCAGTGGATAGTCAACTTGTTTTTTCTACTTTGACGGTAAAGTTTCAGGTGGGGTGGAAATGGTGAGCCAGCAACACCAGAAAGATTCATTGTTGCGTGTTAGCTAGTAAAAATGAAATTTGGAACAGTAGAAGAGTGCATTTGTAATCACTGAAATGATAATTGGAACAAAATGGTCTTAATATCTGGTTCAGTGACCTCAGTTTGATAATGATACACCTTTTGTTATCTCATGAATGAAGACATGATCTTAATGAGCATGAACTGTCTATATTTTCCTTCAGGCAAGGGATCAGTTGTGTAGCTTTAATAATGTTTTACAGGATGTACTGAAAAGTAACTTAGAATCTGTGATGGATCCTCATTATTGTCAGGTCATTTAATGTGTGTACATGTTATTTAGTGATGAAAGCTTCAGAAGACTCAAGAATAACATAAGGACTTTATATATATACGATTTCCAGTATGGTCATTTTTTAGAGGTTTTGTGGAATAAGAATGTGAGATTAAAAAGCTGTTTTTGTGTCTTAAGGGCAGTGTTAGTGCAGCTGTGTAGATAGTCCCTGTTGAGTATGAAGGGTCAGGCTAATGGTGTCTGGAAATCACCTTTCAGCAAAGTGATCGACTTCATCACTCAGGAACATCCTTATCTGGTGATGAAGGAGCAGAATTGCTGTTGAGAGAAGCAGGCAGTTATTTGGGCTCTCAGAAATGCTGGGGATAAGTTGATGTTGAAGGTGTGCAGTTTGACTCACCTCTTCCCTAAATATGAGCTTCACCTACAAAGTCACATGGTCTTTTTTTTTTTTTAACAAATATAAATATTCCCCAGAGAGGTCACCTGGGAAGCCATAGAATTTATTCCTTTATGTATATAAGCCTGAATGTTTTTAATAGAAGCTGCTTCACATCTTTCGAGGAAGTAGAGGACGTAAATTGAAATTAGAAATTTTCACATTCTACGACTGTACATTCAGAAGAGTAAACTGCAAACTCTAAAGCAATTCTACAAAAATGTCTGAACTTTGATGCAATGACAGCGCTTTTAGAATAAGCACACAACCTCCCATTGTGTCCTTTTGAAAGAAATAGCAGTCAGGTTTAAGTATAAATACCAGTGTGTTCATTTAGGAAAGCATTACACTGCTCTTTTGTCATCCTTCTAAAGAACTTCGTAGGGTCAGTTGCTGGATAATTTTTCCCCTGCTCTAAATATTTTCAGGATATGTTTAGGGGACCCAGTATGGAAGCTACAGGTTATTTTTACAAATGGGAAGCCTAGGCACAAAGAAACTTCTCGAACATGTTGAAATGACCCTTCGCTTGAGCTCTGGTTTCCTGTCTTTGACTGCTCACTTTAGCATTGGTTTGTAGGATCTTAACATTGGGCACAGTGTTCTGGAGTAAGACTTGAGAGGCAGGCCCCGTGGATGCTCAAGTTAATGGAGTGTTGTTTCTCATTTCATTTTGACACAAATTCTTCTCAGGGTGCAGCCTGGACCACCTCATTTCCAGTGGTGAAAACTGCACTCGTTTTTTTCTATTTTCCAAAGCCCTGTGGCATTCCTATCCAGATTTTATTCTTGGATAAGGGGTAAAGATGGGGTAAGAAACCACTGACAGTATCGTTTGTGATTTTGTTCTGACAGGCTGAATTAAAGTAAATTAAAAGTATTAGTTTTTTAAAAGAAAGAACAGGGTCTTTATCCAAAGTTGTGCTCTTCTATTCACAGAAGTTGAAGTTATAACTAATGTCTATATTGTTCTGGTGTTTGGTCGTAAGAAATTAAGTCCTTAACAGAGTACCAGCTGCTGATAATTCAAGAAAAAACTTTATATAGACCTACTATATTTCCACTGCAGGAAGGAACTTAATGTATTAATGTGAAAATAGTGATAGAGTTGGAGGGTACATTCCCTTTACATTAATAACACTTCCAACCAGTCTTTTCCAATACATGAGAGTGGCTGGATGATGAGTGACCGCTGAGAGATTTTATGTCATTTACTTTTCGTCAGTCGATTTCCAAGTATTTTATTGATCAGAACATATTGGGGCTGTTAGGAGATTTTAGGAATTTAGAAATTGATGAGCAAGATTTTACTGTCTGTCCTCCAGTGAAATTCTGAGCCTAAAATCTTAAAAGTTACCAATCAATAGGGAGGTTATATCTTTTTTGACAGAAGTTGTTTTGAGGGGAAAAGAGAAAAAGAAGGAGAAATAGTAAGGGTTTATATAGCAGGACAAAAAGCCGCTTTAAAGCCTAGAGTTTCATCTTTTCATTCTAAAACATCAATTCTTCAGTTCCTCGGTAGTATCTCTTAAGAAAGTGTACGCAGAAATAAAAGCATTTGGCCGTTTTTGATACCTTTCAACATTTTGTGAACACTGCCTGTGTATGGATTTCAGGCCTTCTTGGGGTCCTTGTGATCCTTCAACTTAAACTACTATTTCCTGAATAGAAGTTAAGAGCAATACCATTTTTAAAAAATAAATGTACAGTGTTTTGAACCAGCATTACAGTGGCTTGGAAATTTGCATATAAGGCTGGCTGTCAATAGTCTTCTTTTATAAACAGCTTAGCTACTACCCATTTTCCCCAAAAATTAATTTTCAAGCTTAAAAAAAAAAAAAGATGGTAATACTGGTTTTTTAAGCATGTTTAGCATATTTGTTTGCAGAATTTTGTGTTGGTAGGAGGTATTCTTAAAAGAAGGATGAGATGATTGCAGATCCTTATTAGTAACTTCGTAGTGAGCTGGTGACTGTTCAGGTTCTATCAGATGGTGTTTTCACTATGCTGATAGCATGCTTTCTCCTTTTATTTTTACTTTCTTGGGCGGTAGGTCTTTTTACCCTCTGTTTACTTAGTTAGGCATGCGTACCGAGGCATCTTTTTCCTGAAACAGGACATTAGTATTAAATTATCTAAATCTTGGGGTAATTCTAGTTTTCACATATGTCTTCGTGATGGTATAAAAGTAGTTAGAACAGTATTATTAATCCAAGTATTGTTGTTAGGTGCCGTCAAGTCGGTTTCGACACATAGCAACCCTGTATACAACAGAACGAAACAGTACCTGGTCCTGCGCCATGCCTACAATCGTTGTTATGCTTGATACCAAAGTATTACTAACATTAAAAATAATAGAAATTTAAAAAGTTGTACTTAAACTAGTCATTATTGTTTCTAATATTGTGGTTGTGGGGTCGGAGATTGAGAGTGTGGTTAATTATCTATGTTGAACAGAATCACAGAATGTGAGAAGATTAGAAAGCTTTAGAGCCCAAATTGTTTTTAACATGTTATCCAAGACCCAGAAGAAGGATGCCATTTGCTCAGGGTCACATGGTTTGGGGTAGAAGCATTAGTTTTAGACCTGTCTATCTCATCATGGAGCCCTGGTGGCACAGTGATTAAGACATCGGCTGCTAACCAAAAGGTTGGCAGTTCGAATCCACGAGCTGCTCCTTAGAAGCCCTGTGGGGCAGTTCTCTGTCCTGTAGGGTCACTGTGAGTTGGGATCTACTCAACGGCAGCAGGTTTGGTTTGGTTTTGGTTTATACTCATCATGGAGTCGTGTTAAATGTGAGGAGCACAATTGGGACATTTGCTGGATATTTGACTTTTTGATGTAATGGACTGTACTAGAAGGATTGAGGAACATTCACTAAAAGTCAACTGAAAGTGATTTGTTTCTAATGTTTTTGGAAGTTATTCTTCTGAAAGTGAATGTTTGACTTTAGTAGGTAGTAGCTTCTAGTTGAAAGGTGGAATGGATAAATATCCAGAGATCTGTTGGGACCCAGACAGGGGTTCTCTATGATTTGAATCCACAGCAACATGTTTAATGCATACATGAAATCTTACTTTACTCTTTTGGTTTGAAGCTTCAGTAAACATTATTTTTACACTTTTTAAGCCCATACGGTTCTCCCAAGTCTCAACATGATAACCGACCAGACTTGGGGGTTAACAGTTTTATCCATTTAATATATTAGAATTCATTGGAGAATAAACCATATAAAAAAGAATATCTTGATTGAATACCCATTTTCATGTGTAGAGCATAGCTCCAGACAGTTTCTAGAACCTAATTTCAGAATCTGCCACCTCATAATCTGGGTGATACAGTGTAAGAAGTACTATAAATGGGGGGCAGAGGACTTGGGTTCTATAACCAGCTTCTCCATTTACTCCCACTTGACTCTTTTCTCATCTGTAAAATGGGTATGCCTTTCCTGGTTACCTCACAGGATTGTTGGGAGAATCAAACGAGATACAGATAGATGGATAGGTAGATAGAGGGGTGATAGTGCTTTAGAAATCTACAAAGTGTTTATTCTTCCTTGAGACACAGTGTGTGCCAGAGAAGTGGACTGCCTGGATTTCGCTGTTAACTCAGACAGAGAAGCTCTGTGACCTTGGGCAGTTACTTAAACTCTCTATGCCTCAGTGTCATCATGAAATGGCGTTCATAGTACTTTTATCTCAGAGGATTAAATGTGCTTAGAACAGTGCCTGACACTTGGAAAGCAGCGAATGT